GCTCTATCTGAAAAGTCTCCTGAGATAACTTCTGTTATGAATTGGTGCTATACAAATAAAATTGAATTGAAATGAATTGAATTGAATTCTATTTCCTCACCATTCCAAAAAAATGGGAAGTTTAGGACAATTTTGGGTCTGAGTGGGCGCACGTTTCTGAGACCCCTGTGATCCATCACCACCTCTTTTAGCTTCGAGCTCCTCTAAAAGTTCCTACCAAGGTTAACCATAGAGGTCATGCACACATGGTCCTGATATAACCACCACATAAGCCACAACAGCTAAGAGTATTGAAGAGCTGAAGTCAGGTCATGTACATATTGAATATCTAGCATTGAGAGATCCATTTATTCATAGTAAAATGAAAACATATGTAACTTTCCATTTAATGACTACAATGATAATATGCCCATTAGACCTTTGTATTACGCTACATATTGACAAGCAGATTTTGAGCAAAAATTTAACGGGAAGCTCAGTAGACACACATTTTTCTTGCATTTCATGTCAGTGAATCAAATACAAAGTTGTTGCCTTTTTTTTTTTTTAGCTTTTTTAGAGCTTTTTTTGAGGATGCTAGAGAGGGGAAGATATGCAGAAAAGGGCGGTGGGAATTGAACCCAGGTTGCTGCAGTTAGGACTCAGCCTTAGTACGTGGGGCACACAGGAAACCCTGAGCTGGCACCTTAATGGGCACCTCCTTCTCAACTACTCAAGCTCTTTTTAACAATGATCCTGCAATACTGCTGTAAAGAAAATCCATCATTACACTGGATCTGCTTTTTTACACTGAATCAAATATGAGCATGAAGCCAGCTTGCCTGAGACCCATACCTTCAAAGCCTTTTTTTTTCTGTTTGGGTTTGCGCCACCTATAGACTTGCTGCTGGCCAGCAGTTTGTATAGCAACGTCCTTTTCGCGCAACATACAACAACCGTTTCTATGACAACAATTACAACAAGATGGACGACATCCAACTGTTCTAAGAAGTATGAAAAAGTTTCTCCAGTCTGAAAATGCACCAAGAACTGGTGGGGATGGGAGTGGGTTGTATAAGTGCTACACTGTTTATACTAATGTCTACTGTGTATGTTATATTTTCTGTCTAAACACTAAAAAAGAGATTTGGGGAAAAAAATATTTAAATAAGCTCAAACTAGGACAAACATTTGAGTCACAATATGTAACTAAACCTGTAAGCGGGTATTAACAGGGTCTAAGCCTCCGGTGCAAGCCACAACCAGCATCTGTGGAGGCTGCAAAAGCCAAACCCGCAGGCCTAAACATTAGTTTGGACACTCAATTTTAGAATATTTGACTATTCTGCCACAACAGTGCCACCTAGTGGCCAACTTGTGCCTCAGAGATGCACGTGGAACTACTGAACCAAGTGTTGTGTTAATCAGACAAACCTATGTGAAGATATGACATCACTTCGTACATACAGAAAGTTGTTCCCTTAAACCTTTTGGACTATCAAAATTCTTTACACAACTTTTTACCAGGAGGGTCAATATATTATACATGCAAAGTTTTGTGCAGATAGGAGGAGTTCAAAAAAGGTTTTTCATTTTCTGTGGTTTTGTTTTTTATTTTTCTTTATTATTGGTGGAAATGGGTGTGGCCTATATCACAAGATGCAGCACAAGTCAGGGACATGTGAATGCAAGTTTTTTGAATGTGCAATGTACTGTGTGGGAGTTAAGGGGGGATTATGACTGTTAGAGAAACACTGACGCACATTGTATAAGATGCTAACACAGTATTAGCTACTGCAATTTATTTACAAAAATATGTATAATCAAATCCAAAGAGCAACAAATGTCACCCTCCAATGTCCCTCCAAGATATTATAGAAATAAAATACCTTAGTTCATGTGAGGATGCCACAAAGGTTTTGCAATAAGATAAAAATATTGCCATTTTCATCTTATTGCAAAACCTATGTTATGTTATGAATCAATAATTTGTTTCTGTTTTGAGTTGCTGAGGCTGTAGTAAATCTCTAGACCAACAGTAAGTTGAGGCCTTTACACATTCATCATAAAAGTTAATTAATTTAGGGCATCTCTGTTCAGTAACTTAAACAGAATGATTCTAAACAAATTGTCTTAGTTTAAATAACTTTAAAAAGGTTTTCTGATAAGATAGCCATAATATACATTTTATAGAATACTTTGACACTACCTTTACAAATATTCTTTTATGTTTTCAATTGTTATTTGGGTTGAGAAATATCACTGCAATACAATTACATTGTACGAATAATGATTTATTTGCAGTCTATTTTTCAATAAGAAACATTTCATGTATTTGTTATTTCTTTCTTTCATACATATTTGTTGAAATGTATTTCATAACACATGATAAGAAAATGTGCATTCATTTAAAAGTGTCATGAGAAACAAAATCTAATCACAGCAGTTGTGCAGCTGAATTTGAAGTGTCATACTTTAGGCCTTAAACAACCACCAATGCATTTTCAATGTCTGGGAAACCCTGAAATCAGAAATCAGTCTACATTTCAGCAAAAACAAGACTTTTACATATAATCCAGATTTTGGACATATTTATACCATACAGTAAAGGATTGAAAACTGGCTGGCATGTGAGCCAATATAATGACAAAAAAATTCTTAAAATATTTGGTAGATTGCTCATATTAAACCTGCTCTGTAATATTTCAAAGCAAGCCCCGAAAGAAAAATTAAGCAGGGAAGCAAGGTGAGGTGTGCAGGTACTGACAGCTTTCTGTCTGGTCTGTTTAGAACCAGAAAAACAAATTTTAAGAATCTTTATGTAAGTGTAAAAAATTAGAATTAGAGGACAAAAGATTGAGACTGAAGTGATAAACAGTCCATAGATGTTATTGATCGTGGTATCAGAACATGCCATTTTTACAATAGAGTAATTGTCACAGTACACCTTTTCAATAATGTTCCCACACAGATGTAAGGAGTTACTCAAGGATGTCATTACAATACACAGCAGTAAAGGGCAAACCCATGTTAGAGCAATAAGCATGGCAATTTTGTTAGATGTCATCTGGGTGTTATATTGCAAAGGGCAACAGATAGCAAGGTATCTGTCATAAGACATGACAGTTAAGTTTAAATATTCCACTCCTCCATAACAGAATAAAACCATATTCTGCAGGAAACAAAATGAAGCAGAAACAGTGTTCAGAGGAGCAATCTGAACCAGACAGCCATTTGGAAACAACCCCTTACTACCATACAGGTTCATTTACAAACAGGCCTGCACAGAAATATGTAACATAGGTTCATGGAGCAAAAGATTGGCACAGATAATTAACAGATATAAACATATGACTATCATAAAAAATAAGTATTTAAAAATCCCAGTGTCAAAGTAGGCAGCAAGTGTGAAATATGAAACCTGTGTAGAGTTTGCCATGATCCTCCTTCTGCTTCTTAAAGCAGTCATAACACTGTTCATAGATGAATTAATTCCACCAAGTTTTACATTTTGTCTAAGTTAAACTTTAAGCTTTGTGCTTGTTTGGTACTATGTGCAGCTAATATATTAAATACATTAATAGTATTCAGCCTAAACACTGTAAGGAAAATCATTACCAAGAAACCAATTGAGAGAAATGTTCCAAACTCACCATACCCTTATTAAAGGTCTTTATAACATAAGCCCACAGTTTGTGACATTGTATGAATCTGTTGACCTGCTGTAGTCAGACTGTGTATGAAACTCTGCTTGTGCTTCTTTTAACTTGATGACCCTGAATTAGAATTACAAGTGTACCTTTTGATATTGCTAACCGTTGTCTGTAATTGGTTATCATAATTTAAAGGCGTGGCCTGATGCACTTCATGGTCCGTAAGTCTTCAATACAAAAATGTTGTACATACAGCTACAATGCACAAGTGTATTGCATTTGATTCAATTTGACAAACAGGGGGCGCCACAGTAAAAATAACATGTTACATCTACATGTCTGTTGTTTTTAATAAGATGAAACTTGGTACACAGCTTTTCCGTAAGCATGTACACAACATATTGAAGCATGGCACCAATAGCTCCAACTTGTTGGCATAAATAATAATAATAATACATTTTATTTATAAAGCCCTTTTCATCAGAGGATCTCAAAGTGCTACAGGTTAGAAACAAAAAGCAGTTTTAAAAAAATAATAATACAAAGGAAAAGGAGAAAAAGAAAAGAAAAATAAAAAAATAAAGAACATCTAAAAGGACCAAAAGCTTTGCTAAAAAGAAACTGTTGTTAAGATTCCTTTTTAAAAACAGTCCGTGGATTGTGGTGCCTCAGGGTGTCAGGGAGGGCATTCCACAGACGTGGGCCAGGCGGCAGCACTAATCAAAGGCCCTAATCTCCCATGTCCTGAGTCTGGCTTCTGGGTATGGTAGGAAGGTTTGAGGACGTCGCAGCGGAGGGAGCGTGTTGTGTTTTGTGGGTTGATAAGTTCTTTGAGGTAGGGGGGGGCATGTCCATGGATGCATTGATGGGTGAAAAACTTTTTTGAGTTTTGTCCACACATACTTCTTATTGGGTACAGCCACCTCTGATGATCATGGCCTCATCAGAGGTGATTTTTCAAAAGGGGTTTTCAATAAAATTTGTGAAGTAATTTCTTTTAAAACACTTTTCTTTGATGTTTTGAAGTGCACCTCCAACCCCTGCCTAGCAAGTTCAGTTTTTCTACAACCAGAAGAAAACTTCACTGAAAATTGGAGTCAGGGTTATGTTGTAGGGTTAGGGTTGAGCTGAACTGGGGTACTGGCACCTTTTTGTCCAATTCAGGCTCTGGAGAAAACATAACCTCTAGGGTGCTAATCCTAAACCCTGACAAAAAGCATACTGTTATCACTTGTAGCTGACTGAGGTAAAAGTTCAATAAAGAGCACACACACTAGAGTCAAAGGTCCCTTTACAGTACCTGTTTTAATTAAGTTTTGACCAACTATTTGTCTTCCTCGCAGCCTAGTCTTATGGCTGCGAGGAATGTATGTTTGAAGGTGTACTATAAGAGCAACAAAGTCCAGCCAGGAGACAGTTCGAGTTCCGGTTTGAGTTCAATGTGAAAACAAAAGATTATTGTTATTGTGTGTTTTGTCTCTTTTTTGGCAAACAAATTGTGATATAATGGTACAAACAATAATGTGATATTTTAAAACATTAAATATCAACATACGATAATATTATGATATGATAATAATGTATATAATCCAGCGTCTCTTACATCCTTTCCATTTCTTTTCATTCTGGCTTTGTAGTTTACGCTAGGGTGGTTCTAATTGTTCAGTTATGGTTACAGACCCTCTCTCTATGTCCCAAATTTTTAGTGTGTAAACTGATCATTCTTTGTTAGTAAAGTAAGATCAACTTGTCAGATTTTAAAATGTATGTATGTTTTAATATTTTACTGCCAAATGGACAAGTGACAAAGTTCTATTCTACTTCTGACTGTTCCTTCCACACAAAACAAAGAAGAAAGTCATCCTTTATTTCAAATATAGCAAACTTAGAAAGTAGCCTAGGACTGTATGATCATTATCGAGTCTTCATGGAGGACCAGTTGCACCTGACTGTCTCCCTGAGCAGCTGCCAACCCCAAGAGACTTGCTGAAGAAAACAAGCTATTCTCCTGGGAAGCCCGGCTTATCCCAGCTGTCATTCACCATTATGGCTGTGATGAAGAGCACAGCAGCAGGTGCATCACATCATCGCAAACACACACCTGAATCACCCTAAGTGTGGAGAATGTTGTGTAAACAGTGTGTAATTAGAATATAGAAAACAGTAGTAAGTATTTCACCAAATACATAATGTGTATTTGTAACTGTATGGGTGGTAATTTTTTATAACTCACCCATTATAAGTTTTATAACTTTATAACTCACCCATTTTAAGTTTTATAACTTGTATAACTTAACCATTTAAATTATATTAAGGCTTATAGTTATATATAATTAAGGGTGTGGCCACTGAAAGTGAAAAGTGGGTGCCATTACAGGTGGCTATTTTCAGTAACCAGACTTCATTCAGCCCGCCTCATCTCCACCTGTGGTCCAACTGCCCATTTTTTGATTAACTGAGAGCTGGCAGAGTCAGGACTGCCAAGATGGCGATGGCCAGAGCCTACCACACTGAGCTTCACAATGTTTTTTTAGAAATGTATGGGTGACGGAGAGTCCATTTTTAATTATATAGTCTAGGGTGGTCTATGGATTAGACTGAATTTAATTGTTACATTGATTCCAATTGCCTAGAAGCTGTGTATCCTTTTCAGATAACAGCACAGCGCACTCATTGTCATTCCTAAATAATGCTCAGCTATAGTATTGGTAAAGGTTAACAAAGTTAGAAACCATGACTGGGCATATTGCCCAAAAATGTGAATTAACAATATTGAGAACTTAATACATTAGGTCATTGGTTAGTGCCTTCCAAAAAGACAAATATGACTGCAATTCCTCTGAGCATTGTGTGATCTGCCACCTCTATGGTTAGGGTTAGACCCCCTGCGGACATGTGTTACCACATAGACAAATAGTCTGCTTAAAACAATAATGTATGCCTGATGTGAAGTATAATTTCCAGAGTCAGTCAGATGGGTTCTCCCTATGATTTTCAGACACAAACACTACTTGTTTTCTAGCAGCAGTTAGTGTACATTGTGCAGAAGTGAAACTCCACATACTATTTGGTTCAGTCACATTTGAGAGGTTGACATGGACATCTGCTGTTGCATTTACCAATCTGCCAATGAACAAAATCATCAATCTGCATCACCTCCACAGGTACAGGACAGTGATGGGACCAAAAGAAGAAAACAAGAAAAATCATCATCAACCTTATATCAGTAAAGTAAGACTTCACTGTGAGCTCATTAATATTCATCAGATAGAATCAGGATAAAGAGAGAAACAGATTGAAAAATAGAGACAGAACGTCTGTGAGAGAAGAAGTAGGAGCTCAGGTGCTCCTTACAAACATCCATTACTAGCTGATTTCCAAATGAACCTCTGTCTGTGTGTGCGTGTGTGTGTGGCTGTATGAATAATAAAAAGTCAAACCCATGAGAAGATGCATGATGTATTAACAACAGTGATTACTTTTTCAGCTTATAAACTCTGTGCTCTGATATGCATGAGAAAAATAATTGTGGAGCGTGTGGCAGATTGACACCAGCAGACAATAATGTGAACGCCAGGAAAAACCTGCCAATATAGAAAACTCTGATTACTGTCTTTATGCTTTCCATATTAAACTCATGCATAAAACCAGGAATACTCAATGCCATGGTTCACTCTGTACAGGTTATGTGCCAGAGGCTTAGGGTAGCCTAGCCTAGCTAATTACAGGAAAGGAGAAAGTTGACAGAGGTTCTGACAGAGGCTTGCTCAGCTGTTATTGGAGCACAGAGCAAAAAGGGGCGGGACTTAGGAAGGGTCAATTGGTTTTTTTTATTTATTACATATAAAAAACGAGATCTGATACAAATGTAATGTATTTTCATCCCTTATGAAGTCCACTCTCCCCTTTTATTCATTCATTCATACATTTTTCTACCAGCATACAATTTGCAAAGTTTCTCCTAAATGTAACTGTTGAGCTATGTGCTCATTTTTAAAAATATTTTATATCATCATGGCTTTTTTCTCTAGAGCTTTTCATAAAGTAAGTAAACTGATATTAATGTATGAAATACCATGACATTCCCTTTTTCAGGAGCTACTTTCACCTAGTATGTGTTCTGTGTGACACCAAAGGTCATGTTGATTTTAATCTTTTCCTAAAACTAACCAAGTAGTTTTGCCTACAGCCAATCACTACTGTGCAGATTCTGGCTCTGAGTGGCGAAAGATGGCAGTGGCCATGTAAATGGTAAATGGACCTGTGAATGTGTGTGAAAAGGCGAATGTGGCATGTAGTGTAAAAGCGCTTTGAGTGGTCGGAAGACTAAAAAAGCACTATACAAGTACAGGTCCATTTA